ATAATGCTGTTTTTACTGTTCACTGGTCTCAACAGAGTGACCCAACAGTTGAAAAATAAACTTTCATTGTCGAATTGGATGGTTGGACGAGAAAAACGTGCAAACTGGTCAACGCCTATAGAGAGCAAACTGCACGGGAAAAGCTGTCGATGACACACGGATAGTGTGTATGTGTCATACTCGGTGATGTGTGTGAATTTTCATCTATATACCAACGCTGCAACCAAATCAGCCAACGTCACCGGTTAATTAGGTAATGCCCATAATCTGCGCTTCATTTCATTCCAGACGTGTTCAATGGGCGACAGATCGGGGGATACAGCAGGCCAGGGCAACACGTCAACGTTCTGCTGGGCCAGAAAGTCCATAGCGACACGAGCTGTGTGTGGCCTGGCGTTGTCCTGCTGTATCGTAATGTGACGTTGCTGCCCTTGCACGAATGGAACGACGTGGGTCCGGAGTATCTCGTTCAAATTCCCGTTAACAACCACCAGAGGTTACAGTTGGTAATACATGCTCTATAACAATTCTCCGCATGCACAGTTTCTTTTTTCCGCTAGTATATAATAGACATGTGCACGTTCATCGTTAAGAAAACACGTATGTAGGTAGATGATTGCATACCTCAAAAACGACGCTTTTACGAAATCGGAATATGAAAGCAAAGTTTGCGTATAAAATAAATAAATTGTATATTACCGGCTTGCTTGATGAAATAAAATCAATGGAGCAAATAAATGCTATTAATATCTTGAAATCGTGTTAATAGGTTTACAAAACCTTAAGTAAATGAATAAAATTACAATATTTCATACCATTACCATAACAAAAAGGACCTCTAAATAACCTTAGAATATATAAAAGATACTGGATCCCTATGCTAAACATTCTCCTTACGAGCCTCAGACGTGGATTAGATTTGCGTGTTGGCTGGGGGAGGGAGGGGGGGGGGGGGGGGGTATGTGATCAAGCAAACTCGATATCAGGTCGAACCTTTTCCCTTGATTTTCTTGTACTTCCTCGACAGATATATGTATGTTTATAATACACTTGTAATTCAAGAGTCTGGTCAAACACAGTACTTTAAAATTACCATCACCAGAGGGCAGTGTTTTTACTTTCGTTTCCAGACGTTATGTCAACAACTTGTATCAATAGCCTTGTTAGCTTCATGAATAATTGTAAAATATCCAATGAAAATACATGAAATCATTCTTTTTGAAGCATTTCCTTACATTTTTCTCGTTAATAGTTAAAACATAGATACTTCAGGAATGCATGTACAGGTAATTTTTTCATGAATTAAAATATTCAATGTAATTTTGCGCCACTCAAATTCCAACTTCAAAAGTGGAAAAGGGTGTGTCAACCTTTGACCAATGAAATCATTTACCAGAATTCTGGTAAGCCTCGTTATGATGTCACAAAACGAAAGCACCGGGTTTGACCAGACTCTCTATTCGGCGTAGCTTGCGCAGGCAACAAGAGTCTGATTGAACGCGACTAAGGCAACAATAGTCTGGTTGAACGAGACTATCACTACCCCGGTTCTCGCCATGAGGATATGGGATCACTTGTGTTTGGCCTGAATTAACATGACAGGTGTCGTCGATAGAGCAGAAGATACCTACCCTTTCGGAACACATGTTCTGATTCCCCTTGTATTTGTTTTAAAGTTCTCATGTAAATCCTTTCTTTATTTATACTTTGCCGTTGTTTTATCGATTTTGAATTTGAATCAAGGTTGATACTTCGGTACTGTCTTGCTGATTATATTTTGTACTTAATTCTATTTTCTCTTTGTACGTTTAATATGTATTGATGCTATATTTTTACTTTCTCCGCGTATTAATAATGTAGGGTATATAAGTACTTGAGGTGGCTCCACCCTTTCGCAATTAGCCAGCATAATTCAATGAAAGTTTCACATAATGGTTATGTCAATATGTATATGTAACCGTTGTGTTCCATATAAATATAGAACACCGGTGTTGTTTAAGTAATAATGAGTTCTTTATTCTTCAATGCTTGGTACATTACAGTTCACAGAGGCAGGGCAGATGGCATAGATAGCATGTATTTACATACTGGATATTTATTGTATTCTGTAGACACTCTGAAATAAACATAAAAGAATATACTTAACACTGAGTGGAGAGAGCAGTGTAAATTACACGCACGTATAATCAAGGGACACAACTCACTATTATGATGTACATCGATAAGTCCATTTCAAATGGTATTACTAAATATTAAATCATAATATATTAAATGAGATAGAATCTTTAAGATTTACAATTTTATAGATCTTAATCCAATAATATAAATAATAACTTCTTTCAAGTTATTATAACGTTACAGTTAAATTGATAAGAATCAGAACTATAGAAATGATCTACAATCCATCATATATATATCAACATGGAAATAGCATCATATAAATAACAATTTAAACATGAGATAAGGCAAATACCTGTGAGCCATCCTAGATGCTTCTATTACTGCCACCTCTGTACAAGTTTCGAATAATTCTAAAATAATACAAACAATTACCTTACTACTATGACATTTGCAAATACATAGATATGTCAAAATAGACAACTTTCAAACTTAACTTTGCACCATTTTATGAAACATAATTCTAGCTCTATGGCTGTAATTTTGAAACTAAGAAAATTACTAAATATACCAAATACTTCAACATTATGACTTATTGAAGTTACTTTATATATTAATGAAAATTAATATTACACAAGAAATAATTTACAGAAAAACATAGAAACTTACTATGTAACTGCCTGGAATACTTTAAAGACAAGTAGATAGAGCTTGTGATCAGCTTGGCAGGTAGGAGTCTAACTGACCTAATAATGATATTCCCGCCAAGACTGACCAACAAGGGATTATAAAAATAGCGACCAATAAAAAGCAAGACAAGAACATGGACTCTGGACTTAAATCACTGGGTTTAAACTGTTACACTGAAAATAGCAACACATTACACAAAATAGATAGAACACCACACCCTGTAACATGTAACGCCAACAAATGGACAAACACATACACAAAACACCCTGGGCACATACAAATGGATATTTATACACAATTACAACATTTACTATATATGACAATAAAATTGACCCTGTTACATATAGATGATTTTATGAAAATCTAAGCATTCCGATAATCTAGGGATTTTTTTGTAAAAAATACCGAAAAATTGAATTTTTGTCAAAGTCAACACTTTCACATTTTTTGAGTGTGTGGCATTGTTCAAAACTATTACAACAACAAAATTAATGAACAGAAACATTGCTAATCAACCCTACAAATATTTTATTTATCATAAAATATCTACAACATATTACAAAAAGCGCCTTTTATTGAAATTGTATGGATAAAAGTTACTTAATACAAGCTTAAAGCAAACAGCACACATAGTGTCATACAAAAAGAGTGAAAAATTGAACCAAATACACACAAAGTCTTTATATTTCATTTATTTTATATTTTACAATAATTTTGATCCTGATGAGAGTTGTCTACCTTGAAAAAAATCGGAACTTTTTGCAGAGGGATAGAATTTATACAATGACAAGTACTTTCTTTACTATACCAAAAACGACGGAAATGAATTAAATTACTATATTTAATTGTCAATTTACTGTTCTTTTATGGAACAAAATTACTCTCAATCATGTATACTTTGGACATCATTCCATTGCCCGCTTACGCATGGTATATTTACACGTCAGGTACATATGTAATCATAGGCTATCGCATGGTATGCCGTTATCACGTGCACGCACATGCATTTGAATTTTATAGGGATATTGATATTTTACAAACCACTATTTTCATAGAGTTATTGTAATTGCATTTGTGAAACGATTTATCTGACGGAGCGTAACTCGCTCGACAACAAAAGTCGTAGCCTACGACCAAGAGCTTGTGAACTACTGTTAGCACACGTGATACGTACAGGTGAGGTCGGTAAACAAAACACATCAGTCTGCATTCCATGCGCCTCTTGAAGTCGTCTGATCTTATGTCAGTGTCTTCCCGTGAGTTAATTAATATCTTTCTATCATAAGCTTTATTTTAGAAGTACGTGTGATTACACATGTCCAAGTTAAGTCTCGATATCGGGTGTTGACATATCATCGTCACGCACGTGTACTATTGTTTACCCGGTGTTACTATAATTTACACTACGGTAATGGAATGCCCGATACGCAATACGGAAATGACGACACTAAAATACGACAAGAAAAACATGTGTATTACGAAGGGTGGGAAGTCCTTAATTCTATAGTGTCCTTTAATATGTAAGATTTTACTCTATTGCATTGTTTTTGCGTTATCATATTAGTTCTATATGATGCAGATATGTAAAAGATGTGGATTAATTCGGTTGCCTTACAAGCGTCAGCTGTAGGGAATTTCCCTTTAGCTCAGCGGTAGAGCAGGTTCGAGCCCCAGCGACGGCACTATATTTATCACTATTCCTCATCCTACTACAAATTGGTGCCGTTGACCCTCCCCGTTCAAGGTAGGAGAACCCTTGGCGGGGAGTCAAATAACCCGGGTTGGTGTTTGAAAAAAGGGGGGGATAGTGTAAAAGTTGTGGATTAATTCGGTTGCCTTACAAGCGTCAGCTGTAGGGAATTTCCCTTTAGCATCGGGCTGGAGAGTCGTGGGTCGCGGGTTCGAGGCCCAGCGACGGCACTATCTTTATCACAATTTCTCGTCCTACTACAGATACACAGATTTTTCTCTGACTGTAGGACTTAAAAAATCCTCTGCTGTCAGCTCAATGCGGTTTGAATAAATTCTGAAAAGAGCATGTACATTTGAAAAGTTGAGGTGAAAAAGTAAATAATATGTAACAGAGGTCATTATTTTTGCAATGCCTCCGCTAGGAATCGAACCCGGGACCTCTGGTTCACTAGGCTTACGCTCTACCGAATGAGATAAAGAGAAATTCTCACTAACCGAGACGGTAGAAAGCGGCCTGTATTTTACCAGGGTGACATACTCCCCCTCTAGTAAAGAAAACGTCCCGAGTTTTACAGGGGTCATAGCGTTTCCTTTGCAAGTGTAACAGAAGTCATTATCTTTTCAATGCCTCCGCTAGGAATCGAACCCGGGACCTCTGGTTTACTAGTCTTACGTTCTCCCGAATGAGCTAAAGAGAAATTCTCCCTAACCGAGACGGTAGGAAGCGACTAGTATTTTACCAGGGTGACATATTATTATTTCCACAGAAACCTATGAAAAGAAAGATACGAAACTATTACTCACAATTACAATATACACATACAGTTTACTTTCACTTTACGAATACGATGGACATGATTACATATATACTATCACAGGTATTATTATATCATTACATTTATAAACACTATGAATAAAATATGATGAGACTTACCAGGGACCTGGGAAGGAGAGACGAGGTCCGTCCTGCTCGACAGCAAAGTGTGAAGAGAATGAGGGTGGTGACGTGCGCGTATGCAGATCACTCTCTCACAACACTCCACGTTATGACACGAGTACGGGGCAGACAACACATGGACAATATGTGACTTAGTACAATGGGTACACCCTGTTACAAATACATAAATTCCCAATTAGAGTAATTAGTGTTCACAACATTTATTTGATAAAAATTATTCACCTATTGGTGGATAATAAAATTGGTTCTCTATAATTATAGAGTATCGGATGGTTTATCCAGTGATGGTCTAGGCAAGATTCGAAAGATTTGATAGTATGTACTGGATGAATTCATCTCTGGTAAAATTATATATGGTATTGTGTCTATTGTAAATGTAATATATTTACATGTAACAAATACATCCTTAATCCCGTAAAGAATGGGTGCCAAAACGGCTGTTTTAAGTTCATGTTTTCTTAATTAGTGGGAAAATATTGTCTTATTACAACTTAAGAATTAACTAGTGCGAAAATGTGATCGCATGTTGGTGTCTGTGACGCCAAAGTGGGTACGTAGTTGTTCAAAAGGACCATTGCTTAATTTTTGTTGTATGTGTATCTTTAAAATACAACCATTAAGCGACCTAAAACTTTCCAGATAGTATGATTTTTTATAGAGTAAAAATTGCATGCATGCAGAGTTTTTATCCTGTTTATTGACCAAACTGTAGCAGTTGGAAAATGTCGTTAAACAGTGATAAAGCTAATCACCTTTTGAACAGCTGACCTAACTGTTGTTTTCCAAAATCTAACGTGGAAAAAATAACAATATTTGTTTTGATAAACATGTAATATTGGGTTATTTTCTAATTTAGAAAATGACAACAAATTGCAATTGGAATACAACAGTGGTGTTTATAAGGTTTTTTTCAAATAAAAAAATGCTTGTTTCTTAAATTATATCCCTTTTTATTTATATTTTGAGTTGAAATGAAAAATTAAATGCAGGTGGTTGAAATGCATACAGACTACATACATACAGACTCATACATACAGACAACACACATATAGACTGCAAACATAAAGACTACACACATACATACTACACACATACAGACTACCCACATACAGACTACACACATACAGACTACACACATACAGATAAAACACATACAGACTGTACACATACAGACTACACACATACAGACTACACACATACAGACTGCACACATACAGACTACACACATACAGACTACACACATACAGACTACACACATACAGACTACACACATACAGACTACACACATACAGACTACACACATACAGACTACACACATACAGACTACACACATACAGACTACACACATACAGACTACACACATACAGACTACACACATACAGACTACACACATACAGACTACACACATACAGACTACACACATACAGACTACACACATACAGACTACACACATACAGACTACACACATACAGACTACACACATACAGACTACACACATACAGACTACATACATACAGACTACACACATACAGACTACACACATACAGACTACACACATACAGACTACACACATACAGACTACACACATACAGACTACACACATACAGACTACACACATACAGACTACACACATACAGACTACACACATACAGACTACACACATACAGACTACACACATACAGATGACACACATAAAGACTACACACATACAGACTACACACATACAGGCTGCACACGTACAGACTACACATATACAGACTACACACATACAGACTACACACATACAGACTACACACATACAGACTACACACATACAGATGACACACATACAGACTACACACATACAGACTGTACACATAAAGACTACATACATACAGACTGCACACATACAGACTACACACATATTAATTGCATAATGATCCTAATAACTTAAGTTTAAACCTCTGAAAATCGTCCAACTGTTGGTCATTTTTTCCTTCTTGAAGTTTGAATATTTACCATTTGAAATAATCACCATGTATTTCATATTTGATTGATGGTGCAAAACTTCTTTTAAAGTGATATTTGGGGCTCAAAATGGTGGTCAAATTGCTATCAACCAAAACACCGACCCAAAAGCAATATTTTACAAAGTTTTATAATCTAACTTCAAAAGGGTTGAAGAAGGATATACAGGTAGATGTATTGAAAAGTTTCTGATTAGGAAAGAAAATCTATCAAACTACATATCTAAGAAAGAGGTTGACAGCATTTTTACAGAATACAACAGGGGTGTCTTTTAGGTTCCTTTCCAATAAAAAGGAAAGTTGTTTCTTAAATAATTTCCTTTGTGGTTTATATTTTGAGGTGAAATGACAATCAAATTCAGAAATACAGAAACTGCATGCAGACTGCATACATACTATTACATAAT